ATTTCTTAATTATAACTTATCAGCGATACATATTTACAAAAACTTTTCAATAAATCCCAAATGAATCAATTACTAAGTGAACGCGGGTTTACGCAGGTACGATACTCTTGCATATGTCGAACTTGCGACACAGTACGCCTACGAACTAAGCCTTAACCCCTATAAATAACGCTGCCCTTTAGAAAACGTCTCGCGGGACCGCCAACTAGATATTACTTCGCGAGGACAGGCCGAGCACCAACGCTCTATTTCTCAACTTTGATGAAAAGGAGAGAGAGAGAGAAAACACTCTCCTTTGGTGTTCTCGTTCGTCTCGTTGCAGTTGTTGCATGATTGCTGTAATAATGTGGTTAACTTATTTCCAGGCATCTTTAGAGGACAACATGTATTGTACGACTCTATAACAAGTAATATGCTTACTCATTAATCTTTCTAATGCTTCTCTAGCACGTATAAAATGTATGCAAATTGTCAGTATATGCTCAATGCTTTCTACCGCTTCATAACAATGCAAACAAAAGGGGTCATCAGCATGTTTATACTTAAACAGTTATCCTCAGAGGCAACCATGTCCTTTGAGAAACTGTGTAACATAGTAATTAGGTTCACCATATTTTCTTGTAGTCCAGGCTGCAAGTGATGAAATAAGATTGTATGTCTATCTTCCTTTTATTGATGTAATCCACCGATGTTGCCACTGCGCGTATATTTGACTTTGTATCTCATCTTTGTAGTTTCGGCTCTCTTGTGATTTGAGATCTTTCAGAGCTGCTGCCTCTTTTGCCTGTAAGTGTATTGGTATGCGTCCAACAATTACGTTTATAGCTACTTCGGAAACTGTACGAAACCCGCAATATACCCTTAATGAAACTAATCTATGAGTTGACAGCAAAGATCTTGTATATGATATGCAGCAAGTTGCAGGATACCATATTGGTCCGCTATACATCATTACTGAAGTAGACACTGATGCCAAAAGTCTTCGGCCTGCATATCTTGGATCACCAATGTTTCGCATTAATCTTGCAATTGCTACACCGATTCTAATTGCTTTGTCACCGGCAGACTTCATAAGTTCCTTGAATTTAAACCTTTGATCTATTTTGACCTCCAGATAATTAGTTACCGAGCTTGATTTGATAGAAAGCTCGCCAACTGCACTCCAGCTGGTTTTTTGTACATTAAATACACAATTATACATTCCGTTCCAGAGAATGGAGCCTAAAACCGTGCCTTGTGGAAATCCTGCCATCACTATATATGTCTTCACACCACCCATCATATCATACATTAGAATGCGGTCATTGACGTAGCTTACGATCATTCTAAGTAGATAACATATGCCGGTATTTCCAGTTTTGATAGTGCTTTTATTATTGCGTTCTAGTCCGCTGAGTTGAAAGCATTTTTGATATCCAGCGTGACCACAGCTCAGTATTCTTTACTGTCACCTCTCCATCTTTTCCCATCCAGCGCATTTTAGGCTATATTATGCACTTTTGTTATAGCATTTATTTACTTTGGCCTTTCATGAAACCATGTTGCCATATTGACAGGCCATTTGGACCTTCTGTATACTGTTCCAATGTTCCAAAAGTTTTTGACCGTAACCTAGTCTTTGGTTAAGTCAGATGCAATTAAAAGCTAAAACTTTCTAAGTTTATTTTTCTATACCTTACACAGTGTAGAAATTTGTCTACACGTAAAGTGCGAATTGTTCTTATCACCTATGGATTTCAATTTACCTAGACAGATCTATGAATACAAACATGGTTTGTCAACTTTTAAATTGCAACCAAAGCTTTTAGTTATTCAACTTAAATATAATATTAATAAAAACTTTCGGAATTTAAGCAAAATTTTTTAACTCTCAATACTGCTAGAATGCGCTTTAAAGTATGTAGAGGTGTTGTTTACGAATTTTAAATAACATTCTGATAAGGGTATTTAATTTTTTTCTTAATTCACATTTTAAAGCATAATTTTAGGCAAATTTTTATTTTTTTACAAAATCAAATCTCAAATGTTTAATATAAATTGAAATTGAATAAAACAATAAACTCTATTATCTGGAACTAAAAATAATTAAAACATAAATATATCTTTCTATTTCTTAAATGAGTCCATTGTGAGGTGAACAATCACGTTCAGATATATTAAATTCTCTGGCGTTTAATTTAGAAAGTCTGCATCTACACTTAAAAAAATATGTTCGATATGTGCTAAATGTTTTCGTAATAAAAAATATGTTATGAGATCTTTTAGAATTTTTCCTTCATATACTTTTAAATTCAAAAAACCCGTTGGTAATTAACAAAAATATAATTGATTAATACAATCATACAAACTGATGAAGTTTAAAAGTCCAGAAAGCAAAAGTCTATTTTAAGCCAACTATAATTCGAATAAACAGTTTATACAATATTAAAATTTCAACAATACGATTCATTCAAATCAAGAACCGAATTCTCCTACAACTAAACAACACAATCATATTACATTGTATACTATTTTTATAATGTGCAATGAAAATAGTTAAATGAAATTAATAGTGCTGTTTTAAAGATTTTTTGTGCTGTATTATATGTGTTTTTAAAGAATTCAAGCCAAATCAAGTCATGGAGACATGCCAACTTACTACATGTTTTTGTTTAACAGCTGCTAAGGTTCACGATTAACTATACTGTCCCTAACATAATTTTACAAATTCTGTAAGATTTGTGTATTCTCCTAATATACAAAATCTTATTTGTTTGTTTTATGTATATATTATTGTATTGCCACCATCTTTTTTAATTTATAAATAGCTTGACTTGTCTGTATAATATATAAGTTTCTGTTCCTGTTCCTGTTTATGTTTATGTTTATGCTTATGTGTATGTGGAGAGCACCCACATAATAATTGTAATAGTTGGGTGTGTTTTTCGATTAATCCAGAACGTTTAAACTATTCTCTTAACTATAAAGTAAACTTTTTAAAGCCTCTATAAAGTTTGTAATAAGATACTTTTGGAGAAGTTTCTAGGATTATAATTACCCAAATTGGATGTATAGTGACTAGAACCTTAACGCAATAATATTATAACTAATTCTCAAATTATTCTTATGAAATTTGAATATACTTACTTATATTAACAAAGCTTTAAAGTTCATAGTATACTAATGAATGATGACATTTTAACAAATTTCTCAATATAAAAAACCATAAAACTAGGGACAAATGATCATTTTTGGGCTGCTAGTCTCAAATTGGTAATTAGTATTTCTCTAACACGTCAAGTTTTGGGTATCACTAAAAATCTCTTTTTGCAGTTGTATTGAGGGTATTTGCGATATCACTTTATTATTTTTTGATCTGCCAAATATCTGAAGAGAATACTTCAACAAGAAATTTAATGTAAGAAATATAGAAATTGGATAAGAAATGTCTAACATTTTTTGAATTTTGAGTGCCCACAAAACTATGAACGATAACCAAATTGTGTAAATAGATTTGGTAGTAGCAGATAATTTTTGCAGTTCCTTTTAGTTAAGGTTGTTCAATCCGTTGGAATGCCTCATATTTGTAACGAGGCATTTTTAAAATACATAAGAATTGATTTACGGAAGTATCGGACAGAAAATTTAAAAAGTTAGGAAACGCCGCCTACAAGAAAGACGACTATTGCGCCTATTGCGCCTATTGCTACACAGTGCAAGAATGTCAAATACTTAAAACAATACTTAATAATAAAAATACTTAAAACAAAATTTTTTTCAAAAATCTAATAAGTGCGTTTATAGTAGCTGTTGAAAAAACCAACCATCAATTTAAAATTATATATCATCATAATTAAATCAAATGCACCATTATCATCTTTAACCCTCTTATAAAATAAAAATGCAGACATTTTAAACATTTATGTTTTTTTATTCATTTGCAATATTCAACCAATAATAATTTTTTTCAGTATTTCAAATACTACCAAAAAAAAATATTCATATATATATTTGTGTACACAGTTATAATTTTAACTAATATACAATAAATTCTTCATGGTGCTTCTTAAACAACTACAAACTAAAAAGTTTTGTTTTCTTCTTCGAAATGCCGACGAAGTCTGTTTGGAATATCAAATACAAAATTATAACAAATTTTGTAATTAATATTAATTATTTCAAAAATATCAATTAATTAAAATTATTTTTAAAGTAATGATACTAACTAAATTTATAACAAGTGAGTTTAATTATTTTAAAAGCATATAATGCTTTAAAGGCAAATTCTTAAATAAAATAAAAACTCTTGAAATTTAAACATAGTTTCCACCAAAATATATAAATTTTTAGGTATTTAAACATATAGAAATATATATATATATATATATATATATATATACCACAAAAGATATACAATCACACAACTAGCATATATTTGGTACTAAAAATGATACATATGCATATAATTATATATATTCATATATAACATTAAACTAATTAAAGTTTCTTGAATATTCGAGTTAAAATTCAAAAAAAAATATATATTAAAACATTTTACACACTTATACTCTAAATTTTTGCAATAAGAATTATATAAAATTAATTAAATAAATATATAGTATTTATCATGGAATGTTCTGCGATTATAAATGCTTGACTGACTAGGTGTCATATTGGCTGTATCCCAATTCGGACTTAGTATAGACACGACCAATACAAGACGTCAGCTGTAAGTTTTTTAATATAAGTATATAAAATTTTCTTTTATTCTTATAAATGCAATTAAACATGAGTTTATACAAAATACATTTTTAGGTGAAAGGTGCAGTAACTCGCTAAATATATTAATGTAGCTGTGTTCTATAATCTGCGTATACCCATATCTAGTTATTGATTCAGTTATAATTCAGTTATTTATGCATATGCCAAAATTATTTTTTGTGTTTTTAAAATGTAGAACAATAAATTTTTTAAAAAAATCTTGAGACATATATTCAACTCTATAAATATATATAAGCAAATCGTTTAATAACATTTATTTACTTCGCTAACTAAATAAGTATATGTGTGTGCGTTAATTTTCTCTAGTTTTGATATTTTATACCTATGCAATACATAATTATTTTAGTTGTTTTAATTTTTATGATAAAAATGACGTCATGCCTTCATATATAATATAACTAATCTTGTGTCGCTTTACACAATTAAACGTTCCAATATTTTTTCAATTGTTTTAAGAGATTGCTCCTCTAACAAGAATGTGCGATGGTTACCTTCAACGGTGTGCACTTCGACTGTGTTTTTGCAATTCTAAAATAAAAAGAGATACAAGAAAATTATAAGTTAATTAAATGGATTCAATATTTGTTCGTGATTTATATGTATATTCAAATGCACACCTCCTTTAAGCCGTAGTCATCTTCTAATTTGGCATAGTTCTCTTTAGGTTTAACTAACGTCACGTTACAATTAATTTTTACGTTGGGGTGGAATTTGTCTGCTGCAATCAATTTTTTGTAGAATGCAGTTGCTGTTTTTATAATCTGAAAATAAAGATAATAGATAATACTTATACATGTTGTAAAACTATATTAAAACATGAAATCGTTAATTTGAAAGTAAATTAAATGGCGACTACAATAATTTTGTCAACAATATGTTTCATCAAAAAACCCTCCCATAATTGGAAAAAAAATTTCTATTTCACGATTCCACACAACCCATTATGCCCTATGTATTCGTTTTGTAAGCCATTTAGGTTTACTATTCTATAAGTGCCCACATCTTACACCAACAATAACAACTAGTTCTGTTTCAACAAAATTTAAAACGTATTGCACTTACCAAATCTGTTGGTTGATTAATTACAGCTGCAACTAATTCTGCACATTTTTCCACCTTAGATTGCCACGTTGGTATGGTCATAAGTAACCGTGCCACCTAAAATGTAGAAAAAAATTTATTGATAAATATTTAGACAATCATTTTTACATTTAAAAATACGTACACCACCATAGTCCACATTGGCACATACCATGCCAAAGTATGCCAAACCATAAGCTTCATTTTGGTTTATATCATCTTCGGTATTATAACGCTCTTTGAATGATTGTGTATACCAGTTGACATACTTGGGCGCACCATCCAACATAACTAATTCACAGTTTTCCTTATTTTTCTCTAATTGGCTTACCATTACAAATGCAATTAATGCACCAAATGAATATCCCGCAATCGCATAGGGACCTTTAGGTTGTACTGTGCGTACTTGGTTTAAGTAAAATTTAGCTAAAGTATCTGCTGATTCCAGTGGTGCATCAGCTGTGCATTGCAAACCGTATACTGGACAATTTAAACGTTCTGCCAAAGTTTGTAATGCAGAAGCAAAACCTTCGATTGGTGATACGAAAAATATTGGACGTTTTTTGCTATCGGCAGGTGCAACTGACTTAAGACGTACAATTGCTTCGGTGGGCATAAGTTCACTAGTAAAAACGACTTGGGTACCATCACCGAATGAACTAGGACTAACTCGTTGTGGTGACGTTTGTGCTGCAGTTCCAGAAGTTGCAGATGTGTCGCCACCACCACTTAATTTTTTCAAAGCTCCAAATGTTAGCTGACGAATTTCTTGCGCCGTCATTACAATATCGAAATTTCGTTCAAGTGTCTGTTTGATTTCGGCGCTCATTAAAGAGTCCATTCCAAGATCACCTAATGTTGCAGCGTCTTGTACGTTTTTAATATCACGTAATCCTAACACATTTGCAATGCTAGCCACTAAGCTGACACCGCCAGATTGCTCCGATTTTCTCTTTTCTGCTACAACCATTGATGAAAGCACCGGATGGGGTTGTTGCAAGAATAAATCAAGCGTCTGCAAACATGATACCATACGTTGAGGCAAGGTTCCACCAATAACAGTATCATTATCGCCTAAATTCTCAATAACTAAACCAGTGTCACCAATAGCACCCCATTGTATTGCAGTTCCAGGGAAACCACTTACTTGACGTTGTTCACATATACGCTCCATAGCTGAATTAGCTAAACCATAATTGGTTTGACCAATATTACCGCGACCGCATGATACACTTGAGAAGCAGATAAAATAGTCCAATTCTGAACATATACTGCGGGATATTTGATCAAGATATAGAGTACCAGCTACCTTGGAATCGCAAACGGTTTTAAAGTCCTTGACAGTTTGATCCTCAATCAAGCCGTCACGTAAAACAGCTGCCAGATTAAATATACCACCAACTAGTCCTAATTTATTTGAATTTTCTAATAATTTTTTACAACCAGCAGGAGTTGTAAAATCATTTGTGTCAATAAGAACTCGTATGCCCTGTTCCTCCCAACGGCGCACATTCAAAGCTTGATAACCAGTTTTTATTCCTGAGCGTGATGACAAAACAATGTATTTGGCACCTCTTAATACCAGCCAATTAGTTAGTTCCAAACCGAAGCCTCCTAAACCGCCAACGATTATGTAACTCTTTTCAGGATGCATATATGTACGTGGTAAAGCATTTACAAGCCGTGCTGCAGGTTTTACAATTTTACGTCCGTCTTCTTCATCACGCACCTTGATTACTACTTTACCAATGTGCTTGCCTGACGCCATAAAACGGAATGCTTGTTCAATTTGCAAATCATTAAAAACAGATGTAGGTAATGGTCGAACTGCACCCTTTTTGATACCTTCACTCACTAATGTTACAATTTGCTTTTGCATCTCTTCTTCACCTTCCATAACGCTATCAAGTAAAATACCATGGAAGGAAGTATTTTTCAAAAACACTGACATACCTAATGAGCTGTTGTTACTTAAATCAAATTTACCGATTTCCAAGAAACGGCCATTTAAGCCTAAACAGCGAACTGAAGCTTGTAATTTTTCTTCTGAAAGCGAATTCAAAACCAAATCTACACCACGTCCTTGAGTTTCGCGCATAACCATTTGTTCAAAGGAAGTATCACGAGAATTACCAATATTTTGGTCTTTTAATTGTGGGAAACGTTGTTTAAGGAAATCACGCTTTTCTTTGCTACCAACAGTTGTGAAAACCGTCAATCCATGGCTGAGTGCAACGGATATAGCAGCTTGTCCAACTCCACCAGAACCAGCATGAATAAGAATTTTTTCTCCTTTTTTCATTTGACCGCGAACAAGTAAAGCATAATAAACTGTAGCATATACACAAGGTACTGTAGAGGCTTCTTCCATTGACCATGAGTCAGGTATTTGCCACATCATACGTTTGTTTGCAAAACAAGTTGTTGCTAATGATTTGGCAGGTACCATAGCCATTACACGACGACCACTTGAGTCTCGACCAGCGAACTCAAGTCCCAAAACTACTTCTTGTTTAGCCAAATCACCCGGTAAGGCGTCAGCAGATAATTTACCAGATGAAAGCATCACATCGCGGAAATTAATAGGTGCATAATAAACAGAACACATTTCCAAATTTTCATCAGTATTGATCTGCGGAATAGGTCCTTCAATCCATTTTAATGAAGAAAGATCACCTTAAGAAAACATATAATACAAATTATTAAAATTTTTGGTTGAAATACAACAGTAATACAAATTAAACATTACCTTTAACGAGTGCGTTTACATAAGCGTGTTCAACTTGTAAAGTAGCCAGATCTTTTTCCAACCTAAGATGTCTATAGGTGCCCCATACACCAGATTTCAACACATTACTTATTAAATCTTTCTCCAACTGTTTCACATAAAATTTGGATGTTAAGCTAAATGTCTCAGCTTTCGCATCTTGAATGAACACCAGACGAGCAAATTTTCCGCCATTTTCATTTTTGATGCAAGTCATTAAACCAACAGCTCCAAATAATTCTTCACCTTGACATACAACATAAATGTATTGTTCATCTTGTGCAGCACTAGTTAAAGCTGTCTTCAAATCATCTAACCAGTTAAAATTCTTTTCAGTTATCTTTACTACTGTGCAATTACGTTCACTTAAGTCCAACACACGTCTACCAACAACAATCACGCGAGAGGCACCATAGGTTTGCTCTTGAACAACTATAAAGCCTTGCTTTTGTAACGCTATACGTCCAGTTTTGGTAAACGAATTGACACTCTCATCAAACACTACAAATCCATTTTCCCTGATAGTTGCAATACTATTCTCCAAGCTCACTGTATCTGGTCTAGCCAATATATCCATTGCAAATATAAAATGACAGTTCTGCTCAACTGGTCCTTCCATAATATCTTTCGATATGATGCGTACACCACTTTCAGCCAAAAGGGTGGCAATATTTTCTTCGTTTTTGTTCGATGTTACTACTGCCAAATCAGCAGTCATAAGCGGCTCGCCTTCAATGATTTGTAATAATTTGTTTGATAAAAGCATGTCAGGATTGCGTCCATTAGCCAATTCAACACCCTTGAGTTTAATAGCTCCAGCGGAATTTTCAATAATCAAATGCAGAGCAGTTGACAAGGCGTGCATACGTGCTTTTTCCGAGTTTTCATGTAAATCGGTTGTATTTGCGTTTGCCACAAATGCATATCGTTCCAAAGTTGGAGGGTTCTGAGTACCTGGTCGTTTTTGAGCCAGAGATGCCTTTAAGCCACGTAACTCAACACCACCACTTTTAACGACATTAATATCATTATACATAGAAACTGTTAAACCTTTTTGTTCAAGATCCTCCTGGGACATCTGTGACACTATTTCCATATGTTTCAATGGATTAATTACAGCTTTTTCAATCCTTGTAGGTAAGTAAAGTTCTCTTAAATCCTTACTAAGTATAGTGAACTGTAACATAGTGTCCATGAAACTAATCCAATTATCAACCCACTTTAATTTACCAGACTTTGCATATGAGTCCGAAGTAACTATTCCGCGGAAAATGCCACTATAATCATAACCACGTAGACGCAACTCCTTATAAGCATCATTAATAGATAAGTCCTTGATAGATGTAGTTGATCTCAATTCAATTAAAGGTAGTTCTTCATTTTCAATCCTCTCGGGTATAGTTATCTTACCTGACATGGCTAAACTACCACCTTCGCATATCTGAAAAGCGCCCGTACTATCAAAGAAATTTATGCCGAATTTAACTACGCCTTCCTTATTGAGTATAGTAGCTCGATGGAAGACCAAGTTCTCCAAAACGACTGGCGTTTTGTGAAATTCTTGACCATGCATTTTGGCGTATGTCATCCACGCCAACGTCATGTACCCAGTTGCGGGAAACAAAATACGTCCATCAATTGTATGGCCAACCAAGAAGGCATCATGTTCCTTAGATAAATTGATTTCAATAATTGTTTCACCAGAAGTTTGTTCAGCACCATACTTAGGCACTAACCATCTTTGACTGTGATCCCAACCAACTTTAGAGTTCAACATAGGAGTACCACGCCCAACGGGATATGTAATAGGGCGAACCAATTTCAATACCTGTGGTTGACCACCAGCAGCATACAGCTTACCAATATTGGTTAAGAAAAATTCAACATTATTTTCATGACCACGTTTAACCAAACTTATATTGGTAGCGACTGGTCCGAGTGCACGCTTTAAAATGGCTTGTAACAAACCTGTTGGAGCAATTTCAATGCAAATAGCATCTTTCGGTATATGTTGCAATGCTTCGTGGAAAAGTACAGGTGAAAGTAAATTGTTGACGTGATAAGCTGCCGAGGATTGTTTTGCAATTGCAGAATTCCAAGCGTTTTCAGGTATACTTGTACTTAACCAACGAGGTGTACGATTTTTGGCATTAGGAATAATTTTCTCTAAACTCTTTCGCAATTTTGGCCCTGCATCGGCAATATATTTGCTATGGAAGGCATATCCTGATGACTTAACAGCTCTTGCGAAAATTCCATCCGCAGTTAATTTTGCTATTAGATCGTCAATGGAAGCTTCTGGTCCTGAAATTGTGCAGTTGTCAACGCTGTTATGACAAACAGGGAAGCAATCATTTGGCATGCGTTTGTGTGCTTCCTCCCATGACAAGCCAATAGCTGCCATTTTACCTTTTGGCAATTGAGTTTCTTGAATACTTTTACCTCGCCAGTAGGAAGCTAAGACTGTCTGTTCCGGTGTAAAGCAACCATCCGCATATGCGCAACCTAGTTCACCAACAGAGTGGCCCACAATGCCGTCGGGTTGAATATTAAGTGAAGTCAATAAATCCGTTAAAGCTACTTGCATAGCAGCAATAGACACAAATGAATTCAATATATTTTCAAAACTTTGTTCAGTGGAACGTGTAAGTATATCAATAAGATCAACTCCTTCACTGCGCAAAACTTCTGCACAACGATGTATAGATTGACTGAATATATCGAAATGCATAAGGTCCTTGGCCATACTGGCCCATTGACTGCCCATTCCAGAGTAAATATACCATATTGGTCGTTTTTCATCTGAAAATTCCATAACCTCACATTGCAAAGGCCCTTTACTGTTCATGACGCAATAGCCACGGAAGTAGTGCAGCGGAATATTACGAGAATGTATATCATTGATAAGTGTCAAATATTCGTCATCATCACGATGAAGTGTAGCATCGTCGAGTAACTCTTGTACACCATCAAATGTACGTCCTGAACAGACAACAAGTTTAGGTGGACCCTCGCGTGGGGTAATTGCTTTTGGTTTTGGATTAGATTTTAGAATAACATGCGCATTAGCACCACCAAAACCGAATGAATTGATACCAATAATACCACCGTTCCAAGGCGTATTTTTATCAACAACTTTAAGGCGACCATCTATTAAGCCGTACAAGTCCGGATTAGGTTTAGAATAATGCAAATTAGCCGGTATGACACCTTCCTCCATAGCAATTAACATCTTTGCAATCGAACAGACGCCTGAAGCGGGTTCTGAATGACCCATATTTGACTTAACAGACCCAATAAGTAAGGGTGTTTTGCGATTTTTACAGAAGAAATCAGTAATCGAGTTCACTTCCTGAGGATCTCCTACTTTGGTACCAGTGCCGTGAGCTTCTACATAAGTAACATCAGCTGGATCTAAATTGATTTCTTCATAAGTTTCACGTATTAAACGATTTTGCATGCCACCATCTGGGAACGTAATGCCTTGTTCTTTGAATCCGTCAGTATTTGTACGTACATTTAAAATAGTAGCATAGACACGTTTCGAACGAGATGTACGTTGTACTAGTATTGTAACGCAGCCATCTGAACGCACATACCCATTGCCAGATTCATCAAATGCTTTACACATACCATCCACACTCAACATATTAAGGCGTTTGAACTGAAGTGACATTGTAGGCTTGAGTATAACACCAACACCTGCGACAATAGCTGAATCACATTTGCCCTCACGAATGTCTGAAAATGCATGTTCTAATGCATATAAAGAACTAGAACAAGCAGTATCAACGCTATAGCTAGGGCCTTTAAAATCAAATGCATACGAAATACGATTAGCAAACATAGCACGTGCACAACCAGTCAATCCATAACCATTTACACGATCCGGATCTATCGTCCAATATTGTTCAGTTTCTGATGTAGACACACCAACATAAACACCAGTACGTGAGCCACGTAAATCAACTGGATTAAGACCTGCATCGATTATAGCCTCGTGTGTGGTCTCAAGAAGCATACGTAATTGTGGATCCATGCATTCAGCTTGTTTTTGATGTACACTAAAAAATTGTTGATCAAATTGTTCCAAATCTTCATCCTTAATTTTACCTAATCTTTCAGGCAGTCCAAAAAGACCTACAAGAATAATAACATATTCAATACTTATACTTATATACAATATCTATGTATACAAATACAGAAAATTGTAAATTTTAACTTACCACTTTCCCAACGCCTTGGATCATCGGTTACCATGTCAACATTTTCAAACAGATTCTTTTTAAACTCTTCGATATTTGAACTTTCAGGTAGTCTGCCGGAGAAGCCAGTTATGGCAATATCATCATTTAGCAGTGGACGATGATTGAAGTGACCCCCTAGATCCATGGGGACACCACGATCATTATCAGTGATGACTTCTTCTGCAAAACGAGCTGGCATATTGTTATCTGTTGCTATCTGTTTCTCTTGTTGTTGAATCGAATTTTGACCGCCTGCTTGACAATCTTTGTTTCGGCGTTTTTTGCGACGATTGGAACGTGTTTTCCCGTTCTTTTGTAATGGTGCCGGTATATTTTTAACTTCGGATTGAATGGTACTTATTTTGTTACCGCTCTGTAGCACTTTGTTACAACTATAAATAAATCATTTTCAAAAATATAAGTATTACAAATAATACATCATTTAAGAAACATGATTAAACATTATTAAACATATTATGATTGAATAAATCAATAAAAAAATTTTTAGAATAGATATTAGAAAAATTATAAAAAAAATTAAAAAATAATAAAGTGAAACGATAAACTTCTTATAGATACATTGTATTGAAAATAAGGTGAGGTATACAGAGGTTGAGAGAATGAGAACTATATTTAAGAGAATAACACGTTAAGAGAATGTATGGGTTTGATTGGGGAAAAATACCGGCATAATCTGCAAACAATTAGTTGTTTTTTTTAGCTTTTTTGTTTTGGCCGCTTATGTGTATCTCTACCAGACGCTGCGACTTGTTGGCCGCTCTGCATTTGATGAATGGAAATGTGGATATACAACATTCAAAATCAGGTGATTTCTGGGCTTGTATTAGATATACACACAAAATATCTATATACCACCGCACTGTAGATGTTAAACAGCTTGTTCTGTACAAAAACGTTTTGAACGTATTGAATTTTAATGCAGGTTGAAACAACGCATAAATTGTATATTGCATATTGTATATTATATATTGATTTTCTGATGGTAGTATAAAGTGGGAAATGTTCTTATTTTTTTATTGTGGTTTTTTCTAGATATAAACAGTATCTTCATTTTAAAATTTAAAAAAATTTAGATTATTTTAAGAATTAAGAAGTTTTTGTTTAATTTGAAAGTGTGTGAAGTAAAAGAAAAGTGAATTATAAAAATAATTGTTGACACAAATCAATAAATCAGACTAACATTCTTGATGATTCAATATTATAATATTCCTATAATATATTATAGAAATATAATAAGATAATAGATAATAGACATACGTATAATCGCCTTTAGACCGGCGAAAGAATATACTACAATCATTTAGGTATCTAATATTAGATAGCATCCAATTTATCAACGTAAATAAACTACAGGATATCACATAGATAAACTTGGATAGATGATCTTAATTACCTTAAAGAAAATCTTCAAATTATGAAAAAGAATTTAAGTGAATATGATTAAAATTCAATAGTTAGTTTTGAACTGCGGGTGAGTCTGCAACTTCAATTTATCGATTCGTTCTTTCCAATAGCAGTTAAGAATAATCCACTACAAATAAATAGATTATTTCTATTTCGAACTAGATATACAAAGTATCAATGAAATTGATACCCTTTATAACTTTATTTAGTTATAAAGGGTTCATGTATGTTTTAAATTGTTAACCAACTTACAAAATACTAAAGTCAAAAATATATCTAGACGATTCATTTTAAAAATATATAACATCAGATTTTTTCTGACAAATTTATTAAACCATATTCCACTGTTAATTTTTCAAAACATAAAAAACATATGTTCATACCACCGGTTAGTTGGCTTACTCATAGTTCCATGCTTTCGCACTGAGTCAGTTTTTTAAATTTTATTGCTATAGACGCCGCATTTCGCATGCGACTGTAATAAAAAACGTTTTATTCTCTCTTCAATGTCATATGAGCATGACAAACATTCAACGGAAAGTGGAAGAAGTAACTTTCAGTGAAAGAGAGTCCATTATTATTATTATTATTATTATTATTATTGTTGTTGTTGTTGTTGTTGTTGTTGTTGTTGTACTTAGTAAACCAATTCCCATTCGACAGAAAAATCGTACGATGTTTTTACAGATGACCAAAAAAATAGAAGAAAAAAAAACAATGCAAACAAAAGAGGTCGTTGGTAAATTGATGGTAAAGCATGTCTAACGAAGAAATCGGGAGAAAAAAATAATAAACCATATACATATGTGAGGTACTCATATATGCTGAGGGTATACTTATGTACTCCAAAATGTATTTTTATACCCATTAAGGAGAAATAAATTAATAAATAATAATAATAATAATAATAATAATAATAGTAGTAATATCTTTACTAATTTTCTGCTATTTGAAATCATACAATTTAAACGTATCGTTTTATAGAACGAGACCCGTCAGAGTGAAAAAGTTTATCTATATAATTTGTTATTATTGAAACGTTATACCTATATATGGTATTATAATCTGTCCACTCTTAAATAGCTTTATCTGCCATTGACCTAACGAAAATGTTGACGGTAAACAAAAACAATAAACAAAAATAAATGACTCAAGGAAAAACCATGACTCAGATAAGAGGCAAGAAAAAGTAACAATAAAAAAAAAAATATAGCTTATATAAAAAGATTTCCATTTTAATTTAATATCAAATTTCTATAACACAAAAGTACATTCCACCTAATAATAACAAATCCTCTCTAATTCCTAACATAATATCTGGATTTTTATTTTGAGAAAACTTTTAGGTTCGAAGTTTATGACTTAAAACACTTTGAAATACTACTATAAATACGTTATTTGTACTTGATGCAAAGGTATACCATTTCAATTTGGAAATGTGCAAATGTTTCAGAATCAGTTTACAGAACCAGTAATAGTTATTTTTAAACAAGTTTAATACCCAACACACAATTCACTACAGTAGTTGGATAGAAACGTAGCTGGAAATGTCCGAAAGAAAGTTGAGAAACACATTTCAATAATACTGAAATGCGTACGTTTAAGCTACCGTCACTGGCGTCAAAGTCGTCCCGTAGTTTCTAGTCGAGTTCGACGACTAAATCCCGTTCAGCACACCTAAACAGGACTACACAAGCAGATCCTTGTAGGCTACAACAGCAATAAAGTATCTATAAATTAACTGGGACTACATCAACAAATATCATATAGTGCAAATCAAGAGTTAAATTAAAAAATATGACTTTGTTGGGATTATTTAAATTCAATTTCTATAGTAGCATACTCTTTTTTTATTTTGAAGATTAAAAGGGTAAAATATGAAACAAAAAAGAATTTAAAAAATTTTCCAATTTTTTTTTTTTTTTTTTAATAATATTTTAAAAATAATATGTCTCATGAGACTTTAGATCAAACTATAACATATTTATAAAAATAAAATTTCGAAGCTTTATTATTATTATCTCACTAAGGTGCTAAATGTGAAAACAAATAAATTTATGAATGAATCACGGAAGTCTTTGAAGTTATTTCACTCTACCCCCACTCCTTTAAAGCAAATTATTAGTAATAATTCTGAATATAAATATTAGGGATTTATAGCATGTACAACTATTTGTACATACACTATATATATCTGATGTTTTCAATTATAAGAATTAAATAAATTTATTCTTAAAATTATTATTCATGAAAAATTGAGAAATTAAAGTATTAAATGTCAATAGAAATCAAATTAACACACAAAACGACTGACTTGACACTAAAAACCGATTGTAATAATTATTTTATATAAATATATATTCTATATAAATATATATTAGATATGTAAATTTCTGAAGTGTTGATCTTGACTTCCTAATAGCCTGAAACAGTCTTCGCGCATGACACTTTTTTCTATACAACCGAAATACACATTCAAAAATTTCTCTTCATCTAGGGCGAGTAAAGGTAAGGTAAGTCATCGTCGGAACGCATTGACAAATTATGTAAATTATGCCACAATGTGCTTTGTTATGTATATATAAATATTATATATAAATTGAAAAAATATCCATAGTAATAGAAAGAGTAACAGTAGTCGTAGTCGTACTCGTAGTCGTAGTCGTAGTCATCGTCGTAGTAGTAGTAGTAGTACGATTGGATGAGTTTTGCTATGTATCTGCATACCGCAAACGCTCTCGTCATAATATAGATAAGGTGGCGTGATTTTTCAAGTTCAATGAAGTTTTCATTGATTAAGCAGTAGCACATGTATAAGCAATTACGTATACTTTTTAACATAAACATATGTGTATATTGCAAAAATATACGTTTATACGTATATTTTTTCCTGTGTATAGACTTTATTGATACACAGACGGACAATCAAATCGAAATTGTAATTAGATGTGCAGTTAAGTTCAAATAAATTTATTTTACCACGCTATCAACAAATATAATAAATATTAATGTTATTTTACATTATATCATAAAGTTTATTATGACATTTTTACATTTTTACATTTTTACATTTTTACATTTTTGTACCCGTTTTTGTTCATTTCGGATCGGATAATGTTTCTTTGCCGACTTATTGCAATCTTACGTCTTAATGAATAATGAAAAGGAGAGAGGATACCAATATTAAATGAGTAATGAAAATGGAGCAAAATATGTTTCTTCACAACAATTTAATAAAAAGTTATCATATTTTCCAAAATGTATATATGTGCTATATACAGCAATTAATATTAATAAAAGAAGCGCAGCAATAAGCGATCAAATAATAAATAAAAAGAATTTAAATCACATCAAGTTTATATAAAAAATCAACAGGACTTCAGTTTTAAATTCATAAATTTAAATTTAGTTTCTTGTAGTTTAACGAAACCAATTTTATATTTATAATTCAAAAAAAATGCGTACGTATAATGAACACCGGAGCGTATGAGTTATATTTCTTAATACTGTTTTAGGGTTGATAATTATCGTCAAAAAATTTCATTTATAATATTAAAGCCACTCAAATTTAGATATAATATAGAAAAATATATAAATTATATGATATTCACTGGTTAACATTGTTATTATGAGTTCTTGTGTACAGTTGAAATACATTGCTGCCATTGCATATTGCATATATATTATATTACATTTATGCGAAAGAGACATTTTCAACTGACTTCTTCTCCAACTCTCGAATACAATTTTAGCTATACATAAATAAATAAAAATAACATAATTTTAAAACAAATCTAATTTTTTTTTTAAATAATATATTTTATTATATTTTTATGTTTGTCAACATATTGGATACTTTATAATCTATATACAGATCCGAATAGCACAACTAAACGAATTGACTTAGCGTAACCTATTTGCTCGCATATATCTATCTGTATGTTAATAATTTGTTCACTAACTTACA